ACAACCACATTTTGAAGATTGGTTAAAAAATAAAACATACTGTACAGTCACATCTTAAGTTAGCTAAGTTTGCCAAACACTAGCTAACTAGCTAGCTAATCTACATCAATCAGACAAAAAAAGCTAACTTAAAGGTCCAGTTTGTAGGATTTAGTGGCATCTGACGCTGTTGCAGATTGCAACTCCCTCGCTTCACCCTTCCAAGTGTGAAGTAGAAACGTAGTGGCCGTGATACACTCCAAAAACACAAAAGGCTCTATTCAGATGCAATGTTTGCTTTGTCCTTTCTGGGCTACAGTAGAAACATGGCGGTTCAACATGGCATACTCCTAGTCCCCCCACAGCGTCTGTAAATAAAAATGCCTCATTATTTTCAAATATGCTCAACTGTTATTGGACCACAGAGTAAAAAGGGGCGGGTCTAAGGGAGGGTCAGTCTTTAGTACCAATGACTTCCACTGTTTTTTCTCATGCAGGTGTCCACCGATCGGAAGCTCAACTCTCCTATGTATTTCTTTCTCTACCACCTCTCCTTTGTGGACATTGTCTATACCACCAGCACCATCCCCAAAATGCTGTCCGGTTTCCTGACGGACGTGAACACCATTTCCGTCCCGGGCTGCTTCCTCCAGATGCATTTCTTCATTCAGCTCGGCGTTACCGCCTATGCCATACTGACTGTCATGGCGTATGACCGCTACGTGGCCATCTGCAACCCTCTGCGCTACACTGCCGTCATGACCCGGCCCGTTCAGCTGCTCCTCATCGCGGGAGCTTGGGGCTTCGCCCTCTTCTGCACACTGCCAGCCACCGCCATGACCTGGAAGAAACCTTACTGCGGCCCGAACGTGGTGAGGAACGGCTGGTGCGACCTGTCGTCTGTAAGGCGGCTGGTGTGTGCTGACACATCTGTGGATAACATCGTGTCCGTTTCCTTCGCCATATTAGCTCTACTGACCACAGGAGTCCTCATCCTCGCCTCCTACATCCTCATTGGTGTGTCCATGTCGAGGATGGGTGTTGCTCAGAGGCTGAAGGCCTTCGGGACGTGTGCTGCCCACCTGACTGTGGTGTCCATCTCTTACGGCTCGGCCTCGTTTGTATACATCTCCTACCGGGTGGGAAACTTTTCGCCGGAGGTACGAGACATAACTTAATGTTCACATGAACTAAAAAATGACTTTTTAATCATTTAAGAGTAAAAAAGTGAATTGATCAAACTAAATATATATAATATACAGATACAGTCGCAACCTTGCATGCTCAATAAAGCATAATATTTGATTTTGTTTCAGGAACGTATCGTTGTGTCAGTGCTGTTCTCCGCTCTGACTCCTTTCATAAACCCGATCATCTACAGTCTGAGGAACAAGGAGCTGCGACAGTCCATCAGAAAGACTCTGAGCAGGTTCAGACATGCTGCTGTGGGAACCATGAAGGACGTCAACATGGTGGCCTGAGAGAATCTGTCACTCTTCTAAAGGCAACTTAACATCCAGAAAGAAACTGCTCTGCACAAATCTTATTTGTTTGTTCAGCTGTTGTTGAATTTGCATTCAAGGGTCACATTAAACTAGTTAAAGTCCCCATGAAACAGGAAGCAGAGTGCTGTTTGCTTCCTCATATTTATGTTTCCTGTAAAAACAGGCAGCTATGGAGGGACTTGGGGGGGATAAATAATTAAATCTTGCAAATCTTCTAAACTTTTAAAATGTTATAGGACTGAATGGATCAAATTCTGATAGTGAAACGAAACGTATGCACTGTGTTACAGCCGCTTCTTTCACAATGCAACCTTATGGGGAAAGCTGGTGTTATGAGCTATAGTGTCAGTGTCTACCTTCCAGTGAACACACAGCTAAAAGATCAGCAAAAAGTTCATTAATAATCTCACAACTCCTCAGATTTATCTGATGAATCTTTGGAGGGGCCTGATTTAACTCATATATAATATATGATGTGTGATTTGCACTCATTATTGTTCCATATAACAATATAAAAATGAAGATTAACACATTTAAACATTATTTATTAAAAGGATTTTATTCAAACATATCACATTATACATAACATTATAACAGTATTCACATCTCTCGTGTGACCACATATGGTAAAAACTATCTTGTCCTTTATTTTGAAAGAATAATGATGTAAAATATATTAAAACAGCTTTTATTAAAGTGTCCCACAGGACGTTTAATACTTAAAATAGATTACTGCATTGAATACAATAACAATTTTCCTAAAATCAAACAAACTTAATCAGCTGAGAAGCCGGTTATGAGAAATATTATCATGGCCGAGTGTGAACCTACTCACGTCACCCACTGAATTCTGCAATACCGTCGCCATGTTGGTTTTCTGCAGCCAGCGGAGGTGACATACTGCGAGTTGAGCTGCTCTCATTGGCTGCTCTTGGTTTGGAAACAGTACAAAAGTTAGGAGGTTATGGAGGAAGTAGCATTTTCAAATGTTATGTGTGATGAGCAGCCGTATTAACATTAATGAGGCAGGGTGCTGAGGGAGGAGAAGAATGAATAGAATAGAGAGCCAGACTTGACTATTTTGGGGCTTTTGCGGGGAGGTCCTACAAGGGCTTTCCAAATGAGTGGTGGGTTTTCCACAGTGCGCTGGAGCAATTGGACGGGAGTCAGTATCCCCGAATCATTGGCCACCAGAAGAAAAATCACGTTGACTACTTCATCGCAAAGGATGGCATTCGGTTGCCTTCTGCAGGGAGATTCATCAGTTCTGTAAGCCTGCTACCCATTATGAAATAATCTGCTTCCTGTTCAACTTTCTGTTTATGGTTACTAGGTGTTAGCCGTCATTAGTGAAAAGTCTGATTTAGGTTTATAAAATAGCTTTAAATAATGCTGGCCTTGTGATACAATTATGTGGTATGGGCATTGGTCGGTAGGCCTAACTGGATATTAAAATATGATAGCCCCCTCTGTGTTTAATAAGTTTTTACAAGTAAGTTTAAGTTTTTCTAAAGAAGAAAAGTAATATTACCATTATAATTATGTGGTTTATTTAATAACTAGAAAATGAGTTTGACTTAAAATGGAGACAGTTGCCATGAAAGGTTTTCTCAACTTATGTTTATTTTTGTTTTAGTTTAAAACAAGGGTCTCATTAATCGGGTACCTCTGGCACACTCCTCCTTAAATTGAGCAATTTTAAGGGAAATTGGGAGGTGATAATTTTTCAATCAATACCTTTGAGATGAAGAGTTGAAAGGTTTTCTGCCAACACTGGGTAAGATCATGTTTGAGGAATTGTCTGAAGTTTGTGAGGTTAAATAGAACAATTTTTATTTATTTATTTATTATTTGACTTTTAGAACATCTTAACTTTGTCATATTTCAGAAGACAGCAGTGACACATTTGGTATGTATTGACATGTCAGGATCCACAGACTACTATAATGGACCCACGTCTGAAAAATGAAGACCAATGCAGAAGTGTCTAAACCTGCATTTTTTTCTAATGGTCAGGCAGGGGGCGACTCCATTGTTTCAAAAAGAGTCTGTTAGTACTGAGTCTATAGGAGAAGTTAATTAATGAGCTCAGGTAAAGACAGTTTTCCTGAATGAGTTATCTGTTACTCAGTCTCTAGTTCCAGTCTCTCTTCCATACAGCATGATGTTCATTTAGTAATGATGCTCCCATTAGAGGTCACAACAGGGGACCATAAAAGCAGGGTTATGCTTTTTAGGGGGCGGGGCTACCTTGTGATTGACAGGTCATTCTCAGTGATCCGTCCAGCTCAACGCACAAACTCAGATACAAATGTCAAGACTAGTTTATTGTTACTGTTTATCTGGAAATACCAGATCCTGTGTAGAGCCAGGCGA